ATTTATATCTATATATTACTGTTAACAAATCACACATCGTTAATTACAGTTAAACAAGTTTGCTTTTATAACTTATGTGGTTTTTTCTTCAGTTAAAAATATCTGACATTACCTTACACTTTTTATAAGATCTGCGCAGCCTACTCCTACCTCAGAATCTAGCGCATGCACAGAACGGTCAATACATCTATCATCTGTCTCACTTCATCGGCGGACAAACCGCTCATGGGAAGTATACGAAGCAAGCAATATAGGAGTATTACATATATGGTGCTAGCCGGCTCGAGGTTGCAAGTCTGTTCCGCGATTCAATGACTCGCTGTGTACCTACCTTCAATCGGCTACTCTGCGATTTATGACAAAGAGTGAAAGTTAACAAATTGAATATTTTGAGAACGGTAAAAGTTAGAGCAAAATGGTTTTTACATCTCAGTTTCTATTGGTTAGTTGCAAATTACCAAATTACCACACGGTAGAAGTTTGATAATTTCTATTATTTAAACAATTGATTGTTGATAACTAAAGTTAGAAAGTTCAAACTAGGCTGATATTTTGCAGTTTGTTGGGCTAAGAATTATGGCACAAACCGTTTTCCTCTATCTTTTTTAGTTTAAAAGTTATTATAATAATTTTGCAATTAATTATGATGTTGCGTGATAGCGACTTAACCCATTCGAGACCGATTGCACACCGTGTGTGCATTAATAATAATGAGCATTTATCAGTTATTTTGAGTAAAGTAGTCGTCGAGATAAGACTTTTTTTGAATTAATAGTATCTGTAAAGTATAGAAAAACAAAATTTGGCATTGGTTTTGTATTTTTTTATTTTACCTTACATTGCACACATGGTGTTCAATCCGCTCCTCGCAATAAAAATTTTCTGAGGAGCGAGCTGCACACACGGTGTGCAATCATCTTATTTATGCGAATTCACTTACGAATGGGTGATTTCCATAGTAAACGAGTTTTTTTTTATTAAAAATGAACAATATAAAGAAAAAAAAATTTCGCTCCTGGGGACCGTGTTAGAAAAAAATTGCCGTCTCGAATGGATTAAGGATGATAACTTATTGATCTTTGCGTAAGATTTAATAATAAGCTTCAACAGGTTAACCTTCAACGAGAAATTTTAATACGTGATGATATGTAAAAAATGCATTTGGACTGCCGAGATGTTTTTTGTTTGACGTCAATCGAGAAAACATGTTCATGCGTAACAAGGATGGCCGTGATTTATTCGTTCTACACATTTAAGATTTGTTACATTGTCGAAGTAATAGTATTTCTCGGTTCTGTAATTTTATTGGAATCGTATTTTGTTTAGCCGCGAGCATGATGTTTACAAAAAATTGTATTCTCGATTATGTGGAAAAAAATA